CCTCCGTTCCTGCGTCGGTTCCGGTCGCGACGCTGTCCCGTGGTGTGGGTGCCACGCTCTCGTCGCCGCTTTCCTGGGTGAGTGCGCTGCTGTCGCTGTCCCCACCGACCAAGCCGGCCATGTGCTTGAGCTTGCTCTTCCCTTTGCGCCCGCCGCCGCGTCCGGCCTTTACTGCCGTCGCCGACGGGGACGGGGCGGGGGAGGACGAAGGGAGGGAGGCGGACGCGCGCATACGCCGCTGGGAGACGAGGGTGTCGAACGCATCGTCTGGAGGGAGGGCATATTCATGCCGGAAGAACGGGTGCAGGGAGAGGTTGTCTGAGGGCGAGGGAGAGCGCGCTGGGAGAGGTGGTGTGCTTGACGGGCTTTCACCCGGGAGGTCGTACCCGTCCGCTTCCTGCAAACGCAAGCATATGCATCCAAGGTGAACGCGAGGGGACGCGTCTCGTGAACAAAGCGCCCATAACGCACGACAGGGAGGGGGGGGGGGGGGGGGGGGGGGGGGGGAAACTCACGATGCTCTCGAGGATGTCGAGGTCGTAGCAGGTGCGGAGCTTGGCCCAGAGGTCGTCGATGGAGACAACGTGGCCGGTGTCGCGGAGGATGGCGTTGCGCATGGTGAGGACGTGGAAGTGGCGGTGGATGCCGACGGGGCGCGCGCGCATGAGCGAGCGGAAGAACGCGATTTCGCCCTCGACAGTGTCGAGCCAGTGCGAGGGGGGCGGGTGCTCGTCGTCAACCTCCACCTTGGTCGCCATTGCAGGTGTCGAGAGCAGAGAGCGAGGGGCGAGGGGGTGGAGGGACGGAGAGGTAGGAGGGACTCAGACTGGGGAGGGTGAAGCTGGGGTGGCGGACCGCGACGGCGCGTAGACGAGATCGGATCGGGCAAAGGCCGCGCTTGGCGCTTTCTGGGGCTGCCCTGTTCCCTCAAACCTTCATCCACCACGGTGTCCTCGCCTCTCTACCAGGTAACCAGACCAGAATTACTCGCCGCTGATTATCCTACGCATTCTGCTGTACTTGTGGGTGCTTGTTCTGGACCATGAGTCAAGTCGAAGCTCTCTGTGGTGTGAACGCCGCGCTAGCACTTTTCGGCTCGCACTCGCGCTTGTATCTGGGAGGTCACATACTGTAACTTCCCCCCCCTCCCCACGGAGCATTCTCCCAGTACTGGACGCTTGCGGACACTGGCGGAGTTTTACTCAGGGTGTCGCGGATGTTGACATGCCGAGGCTTGACCAACTATCCGTCTCCGCGGCATGTTATGGGTGTTCTGAGTGTGCTCTTCTCAATCTGGCTCAGGCTGTGCACGCGTCTCTCCTTGAGGCTTCCTACAGACGATGTACATATATGCGCTCATGAAAGCTGTGTCGCTCTGAACTACCGAGTGTGCCAATTTGACTCGTATATTCTTGTGACGATTCACGCGAACTTGACCTGCCAGAACCTTGGCGCAATCTGGGACTTCGAGAGCTCGGCGCTGTAACGGCCAACTGTCATCAGACTTACCTAGACTAGACTCTGCATAACGCTTGAAGACACAGAATGCCTGCTCCTGACATAGCGACCCTCATCGAGTACTTAGCATACTGGCTCCGGTGATGCACTGCCTGCAGAGCCTGCTCGTGTTTCGAACCTTGCTCAAGGACACGAACAACCGGCTTCCTCGCCCCCGGCTGTCCAGTAGTAGCAACCAGCTTGGCGCTTTCTGGCATCTGTCTATCAAATCATATCACGAAGACCTCCTTAACCATGTCTGGCCGCCGGGTTTCACCCACCGCTCTGGTACTCGCCTTGCATATAGACCAGTATTCGGTCCACTGTCAGGGTTATATGAGGAGGTAATCTTCTTGCACACTGGACACCTCTCATACACCTCATCTACGCGATGCACGATCCCGTCAACTCCGTAGCTTGCGTCATTCGCCATGAGGTGCGCGCTCTACGCTCTACCGTGCACTGACGGCTGACCATTCCCCCAGAACCCCAATGATAGCTGCGGCGGAACGGCTACAGCTGAAGACAGCAATCACTCCCTGGGAAACGTGGACGAGTCTACGAGGGTTGGCGCCTTGGCCGACAGCGAAACGAAGAGACCAGCAGCGCCCAGTAGGTTAGACGCTGGAAGTGAAGATGTACGGCACCCCCTGCACCGTCCCGACATTGTCTGACCGCATTCACGAATCCACTAGGTTGACGATGATCCCACTAGTGATGAGGACGTTCCTGAAGGTGACCCCAGGGCATGGCACTGGTTCCTAGGCGATCAATGTGACGAGGAATGCGCCGCAACACCACGGATTGGCCGCATCGAGATAAATGTCGAAGTTGAAGAGGAGACAGAGGTAACGTCCTTTTCAAATTGTCGTCTGATTTGCTAGTTGGCCTGATATCTGCATAGACATCCCCCGTCTTGGAATGCGTCACGTCCGTTGTGCACGGGGAGGTGCATCGGTCAAACAACGAACGCACTCAACACGAAGAGCTCACAAATAACTCTGGAAACGGAGGCGATAGGGTCCCTATAGAGTTCTCTTCGAGTCATTGATCCACAGTATCGGGCGCATGTTGGTAGCGAATACTAGGGAGTGTAATCGAGCCAATGACATCATCAGCCGGCATGAGTGTATTCTAATTGCTCGGATTTCGCAACGTTTGCCGAGCAGTATTTGTCGTAGCCTCAGCACAGTCCAACAAATGTAGAGTGGCGGACGTTACCTGTTTTGACCCTCATGATGATACTACCGCTGGACCTTGGCCGGACCACTCACGGTCATACACACATCGTTTGCCGAGCTGTGCCGGCTACCGGTGGCTGTGTCCGACTGACAGGATCGCTATGTGCTGTGTACTAACTCAGACTCGGTCTCCGAACTCATAGCAGGACACCCACATGGTTACTCGTGCGTTCTTGGCGTTCATCCCGAACTCCTACTGGACGACGCTGTGGACATGAGCGCTTCGGCTCCACTGCACTACTACACAACGGTCATCAGCACCCAGTGGGAAGCCGACTTCGTTACCGATTCCATTGGAAGCAAATGATCGTTATCAGCTAAGCGTGCGCTGTTTCCGAACGGTTTCCAATGAATTGGCCGCGTGGATTTCTGGGTGTGGTGCGAGGGGAAGACCTACATGCTTCCAAACGCAACCAAATGGGTTCAAATCTCGAGGTCAGACCACGGACAGAGTGACCCCTTCTCACTGGATCCAGCCTTACAGATCGGCAACTCCCCTAAGAGGGCATAGTCCCCAGGATTTTACGGGTTCTTACATCTTCCACCGTGCAAGATTGCTCATCAACCCCTTCGCCATTTCGTCTCGACCAAAATGGCCAGCTCCTTCAACCGCCCACCCCCTCCTCCGTCCACCAAACTTGGCCGCCACCGGCAGCTCTCCCCGCTTGCCGGCGTGCACGTCTCCCCGCTGTGTCTCGGCGGCGCTACCATCGGCGACCAGTGGGGCGAGCTCGGGTTCGGACACACGAGCAAGGAAGGCAGCTTCGCGCTCCTGGACGCGTTCTACGACGCCGGCGGGAACTTCATCGACACCGCGAACAACTACCAGAACGAGTCTTCGGAGGCGTTCATTGGGGAGTGGATGGAGATGCGTGGGGTCCGTGACCAGATGGTGGTTTCGACCAAGGTTGGGCTCTGATCGAGTTTTTGATGCGAGGAGAGTCGCTGAGGCTGGGTTGCGCATATTTTAGTACTCGAACTTCTACAAGGCGGGGAGTCCCGAGATCAGGATTAAGTCGAGTTACGTTGGGAACAATGTCAAGTCTATGCACATCTCCGTGGAACAATCGCTGGAGAAGCTCCGCACGTCGTATATTGACATACTGTTCGTGCACTTCGTACGTATCCACATGTCCATATGTTGTCTACAACTTCTTGATGGCTTGTTTATAGTGGGACTTCAGGACGAGCATAGAGGAGGTCGTGAACGGCCTGCACAATCTCGTTGCGTCTGGCAAGGTGCTCTACCTAGTAAGCTGCCTATGCCTACCCTTAGAGCCCCATCACGGGTTTGCTGACACCTGTATACCGCGATTGCGCTAGGGCATCTCAGATACCCCCGCGTGGGTGGTCTCTCGTGCGAACACTTACGCGCGCCTGACGGGCAAGACGCCCTTCGTGATCTACCAGGGCGCGTGGAGCGTCCTGCAGCGCGACCTCGAGCGCGAGATCATTCCGATGGTCAGGGCGGAGGGAATGGCGCTCGCGCCATGGGGTGTGCTCGCGGGCGGCAAGATCCGCACGGACGAGGAGGAGGAGCGGCGTCGTCAGACTGGGGAGAACGGTGGGTGCCGCTGGGACTCGAGAGCAGTGCTCGTGGACGCGGCGCTGACGGTTATGTTTGTAGGCCGTACGACTATGGACACGAAGTGGGAGCGGACTGAGCAGGAGAAACGGGTCGTGGAGGTGCTTAAGGAGGTCGCGCCTGAAGCGGGCGCGGTCAACGTCCAAGCCGGTCAGTATCTCCACCCGGGTCTCTTCTGGCGACGAGTCCCTCACACCGTTCCCGTTGTGCCACAGTCGCAATTGCATACGTCATGCAGAAAATGCCCTACGTGTTTCCTATCATCGGCGGGCGGAAGGTCGAGCAGCTCACCGCTAATCTTGCCGCGCTCGACGTCGCACTCACGCCCGAGCACATACGGAGGATTGAGGGCGTTGTGCCCTTTGACCTCGGGTTCCCCAGCAACTTCATTGTGGGTTCTCACCCTCTTCGTTTTTTGTGGTATCTCGCGAACACTCAATGGTTGTTCACTATTCATGGTAGGGTGACGGCACGGGGTACCCTAGCGTGTTTTACCAGTCGTCTGGCCCTTTCGACGCATGGCCCGCGCCGCAGCCCATTATCCCCAAAAGTGTATAATACTGCATGGATGATCTTTGACTCATTACATGGTGTCCTAAACAACGGTGTGGTACGTCTCACAGTATTGTCTGTGAATACCTTGGACAGTTCAGGTAAACACATAAAACAACAAAAAGTCCTTCGAGCCTGGATCGAACAGGCGGCCTCAGGATGAAGCAGGTCTACCAATTACAGTCCCGCGCTCTACCAACTGAGCTATCGAAGGCTTGTTCGACCCTATCAATGAAAATATATCGCCATTGTTGCTTTCAACAACCACCAACATCGCTGTACCCAGCAATCAGATACACTACCATGTTCAGAACTATTAACATCCAACATCTATATACTTGTAGGCGAATCACAGCACTTGTCAGTGTAGCGGGACACGCAACCAAGGAGTGAGAGTGCAAGTGGAGTGTATCTTCAATGCGCAACATTATTGATACAGATGCCAAACTAAGCCGTACGTGCCGCCGCAGCCGAGATGTCTAAGTACGCGTAGCTATTATACCGTATGAGATAGAGGACCCCGGGAGACCAGGTGTATGTGGTTAGGTGTGTACCAACGTGAACTCCGATATCCAAGGTAGAGGGGGATGGTCAGGTCAGGGTCCGCCGCGTCCTGCACGAGCGTCGACCAAGAGCAGCCAGACGAGCACCGCGCGCTAAGCAGCGGGGTGTATCATGGCTTCGAGCCCGCACCGGAGCTCCTCCACCACTTCGCGATCTTCTCAGTCGAGTAGCGGAGGCTCTTGACCGGGCCCGCGCTGACGAGGCCCTTGAGCGTCTGCACGGCGGACGGGTACCGCACGATCGCGTGCAGCTCTGCGGAGTGACTCAGCACGGGGCGCAGCCAACCAGCGCGCGCGGGAATGTCCGCTCACCTTGCTCGATGACCGCGGGCAGCCCGGGGTCGCCCGCGAGCTTCGTCCAGTACACGGTCTCGTCCGCCTCGCGCGGGGGGATCGCTGGCTGCGCGGCGTAGTGGCCCGTTACGCGCTGGAGGAGGTTCGAGGGCAGCTTGCGGAGGTGCGCGGCGCGCGCGTGCGCGCTCGTGTCCTGCTGGATCGCGCTTGAGTGCGCAGGCCAGTGCACGCCGGGGAGCGCGACGACGAGGCGGTGGTAGAGCTCCTTGAACTGCGGCCCCTGCTTGCGGACGATGTTCCCGACCTTGCCGCGGTTCTCGGCCGGGAGGACCATGCGCACGTCCCCGCCGTACGAGAAGCCGGCGATGCGCTCAAAGAGCTCGCGCTCAGAGAACTCCTCAGGGAGCGTTAGGAGTGCGGTGCGCACGGCGGAGGTGAGGTTGACTTGTTGCGTGAGCCGAACGCGTGCGTCATCTTTGATGATGCGGATCGGCTTGTGCATGCGGCCGGAGAGGTAGAGTGACTTCCAGTTGAGCAAATCTGAGCAGAGGTTGTCGACTGTCGTGACTCCGTATTTGATGGTCTGAGACCAGCGTAAGCTCGGGTGCCACCCATGTTACACAGGGTGCCGGGTCACATACCACGCCGTTCATCTGGACCATGGAGTTAAACCACACACCCGGGGGAATCTCCTCCACTTTCGAGACAAACGACGATCCTAACATACGTGCGCCGAGCGGATAGTGCCCCGGGAACTGATGCATGTTGATCGAATGCCAGTGGTCCGCGTGCGTGACGGCGAACATGAAATCAAGCATCGGGCCATCCTTGGACGCGGGGTTGGTGGTAGAGTACCCGTCCTGCTCGAACACGCCAGAGCCGTACGCAAACGCGTACCTGATCGGCGCCTCGAACTTGGAGACGATACTCTCGAGCAACGCGCGCGTCGAGTCCGCGACGGGCAGAAACTGGTTTCGGCCGAACGAGGGCGGGAGAGAGGCGAGAACCTGGTGTCTGTGCGGCACCGCCGGACGCGGGGCGGGGTTGAGGCGGGTGCGGGCGAGTGGCTTCGCGGATGGGTGCTTTGCCTGGGAGGGGGGAGGCGGGGGCGGGGGTTGTGGGCCGGACGATGTCGCAGTCTCGGTTGAGAGTGAGCGAGCGACGAGGTTGGGAAGCCTGCGAGCATGCGTGCGGGAGATCATGGTGGCGATGAGCGTAAAGAGAGCAGTTGGGAGTGCAGTCCGTGGGCTACTGGAGGGCGTGCGCGTTGAGCTTCAGTTCGAGACGGACGTGGTCGGCGGTGAGTAGCATCTGCGTGCCCCGCCTCAGACGCCTGCGAGAACGTACCCCAGCCCCCGATCACGGGACCCGTTTCCGCTCCGCGTCTGCGCCATCGCCCGCCCCGCCCGCAGTGGCACTCGCACTGGGGCGCGACGTTCTGCCTCCTTCCGCCACCGCCGTCGACGACGGTCTCAAACAACCGGTAGGTCTGGAGTCGATGACGCAGCCTTCAGGCGATTTGGGCCAAAGTCTCGATGTGTACCGGTGCCAATGTCCACCCGCCAAATCTCAGTATGTTCCTTCAAGTCAACAGGTCGTGTCACAGGCGGAATGTACGAGGTATGATTGGAGGTCATTAGAGACAGTTCAACACGAATTCCGGGGTATTCGATTGCCATCGACAACAGTCAGGTCACAGTGCTTTCAGGGGTGACAGTCAACGATGGATCTTCATTACCGTACCGCCCCTAAATGAGAAGCGGCAACAAACCAGCTAGTAGTCATACTTCTGCGCGGGTGCCGCATGATTCAAGACGTAAACAATGCATTGCAGACGCGTACCTGACATGAAGCACCGTTGTGTCGAATTGGCGACCTGGTTGTCACTCTGTCGATGGGCAACACTCGTTGAGCGTACCAGCAACCCAAAGGTGAGTTACAGAGTTGTAAAAGCCCAAGCACGGATTGGGGATACAATGGCGCATACAAGTGCTTGTAAACACGAACTTGGTGGCGTGGACGAGATGGGAACGTCGGACACGGGTCCGAGACGGAGACGCCCAGGTTGCCAGGGTGCCGCGTGACGCTGTGACGCGACGCGTTTGGACGCGTCCCGTCACAGTGCCGGAACGAGCACGCTGGGCCGAACAAGCAGCCCTCGAGACCTTGGGGGGCATCTCCGAGCAAGCACGGAGCAGAATGGATCGTCGACACCGTCGTTTGTTCCAAGCACTGGATGAACAACGGCGCAGGGGCGGAAGACGCCGAGAGCGGGGAGAAAGGGGGATGGGGACGTGTCCGGGGTCCAGACTTACACGATGCGCCTGGTGGACTTGCGGGATCAGAGGCCGGGAGAGAGGCCCAAGTCTTTGAACCCGAACCTCGTCCAACTTGAACATACGGATCCTCTGAATCTCCTCTGGGGCCTTCCAGTTCACCTCGCCTTCCTTCCAGTGTTCTCGGCTCGCCCACATTTCCTCTTGTCAATACCCTTCCACCCGGCTCTCGCGTCCGTTCGTTCCTTCTTGACTTCGCGCAGACATGTCCGCACCTTCTTCTCCTACTTCCCCTACTCAGCCTCCAGAGGAGATCATTTCTAGCCCCGTCACTCCCCCCACGCGCACAGTCGCCATCATCAAAAACCATGCACTCAACCACAGATTCGATATCGAGCTGCGCATCTCCGACGCGGGCTTCGAGGTAAGCCCTGATCTCTCAGTAGCTTCAATCCCGAGGCATCCGGAGCTTCTCGCAGAGTGCCCCTTAGTCTGTACAAGAAAGTTTAGCTTCTTTACAACCGTTGGTTGGACGGCACGAGTGACTGCTCCAAGTCCTGAAGCTACGGTGCGTTTGGGAAAGTACAGCGCACCTGGTCACCAGCTACACTTGCAGCGATGCACAGTATCATTGACTGTTCTAATGAACAGAAGCCGCTTTGAGAATGACTAGGCAAGTAGCATGAATGGCTGCCAGAACTGGTGGAGAGCCGGGTGGCCTTGGGTGCCCCGATATGGCTTGCCTACAAGTTCAGCCGTCGTCGATGGTCCCGCTTTCCGTTGTACAGTCGATTCAATGTGAAAGAACACGCATATGTCTACGAGAGCGTATGGTCGTTGCGAATGCGTCTTCTGCACGGCCTCTCGGGTGCCTTCGGGACTACAATAGTGTCAACGTCTCACCGTACTGTGTACCACAGATCGTGAAGGAGAGGCAGATGGAATTTGACGTAGAGACCGACCCGGACACGCTCTTCGAGTTATTCGGAAGCGACTTCGAGTCCTTTGCCGAGTGAGTACCGTGCCCCTCTTTCGCGAGCCGCTGTGGATCATAACAGCGCCTCTCATCCTCTGTCTTCCGTGTACAGGGGCCCCGTATGGGTATATGTGCTCGAGCGCAGGCGCGCTGTCGAGGTCTGGCACTCCCTCATGGGCGACCCCGACCCCGAGGTCGCACGCACCGAGACCCCCAACTCCATCCGCGCACTCTATGGCATCTCTGCCGCGCAGAACGCCGTCATGGGCTCCACGGACGCACAGGTGGCCGAGGTCCAGATCCAGTCGATATTCGCGTCCTCCCCGCCGTTCCCCACCACAGAGCTCCCTGACGTAGGCCACGACTACGACAACCTTCCCGCGGGCTCCCTCCGCTCCGTCTCGTCCTCCGTGCTCTCCGCGCTCCGGAACGGCAGGTCGGAGAACGGGTATGCCACTTCTTCCGTCACGGGCACGTCTACGAACGGGACGGGCAAGCCCGGCTTCAAGGCGCGCGCGCTGCCCGCCACGCACGCTGCTCCGGACATTGTCCCGCGGATGTCGAAGGCTGCTGCGCTGCGCGTGGGCATCCCCATCGAGCACACGAAGCGCGCCCCACCGACAAAGGAACGCCTCGCGCAAACGTTTGCGAACGTCCCTGGCCATAAGCGCACAGAGACTATCAGCGTAGCATCTACTGCTCCTCCCGTCGTTGCTCCGCGGATGACCCGCGCTGCGTCGTTGAGGCTCGGTATCAAGCCCGAGGAGAAGCCGAGGCGGGCGGCAACTACCGGAGCCGCTGCGGCTACGAAGGACCCGAAGACGACGTTTGATGGGGTGCCCGGACACAAGAGGAGGGAAACCATTGCGGTCGCGAGCACCCGCCCACCGACCATGGCGCCGAGGCTGAACAAGAGCGCGACACTCAGGCAGCAGAAGGAGGCCGCGCCGCCCTCATCGTTCATGTGTGAGTCCTGATCTCTCGATATGTGTGACGCGCGGTTGAACTGATGGGGTGCGGTATAGTCCGCCAAGCTTCATCGCAGTCAGCGCCCTCCAGATCCTCTTCCCGACAGTCCTTCAGTGGCACCGGGTCTGCGCGTCCC